TACAAGAAGCTAGGATAGAAGAGGTATTCCGCAGGAAGAGAACAGGAGAAAGACAGTCTAGGCTAAGAGGTTGCCTACAAAGGCATGCGCAACATCACTGCATCATAGGATGTCTTAGAAGGCAGCCAACAGAAATGAGGCTGTGGGAGGCAGATCAACCACACACGGGAATATGTGGTTGCACAAAGGGCTTTATACTTTATCCCTCGGACAAGACGGACAGAAACACTGTAAAAGAATTTAGATAGGGAGTGACTTCTATGTTATCTCTGAACTTCTAGGTTATCCCTGGCAATAGCACAGAATTTAACATAAAGGAAAAGGAGCGTGACGTTCCAGAGAATCACTAGGGCCATGAACTTTGCTATTACACTTGACCGATAGCTTGCTATGTACTCCAGGACACTGTGCTAGGGAGAAGCGCAACATGTAATGTTTTTTATCTTGCAATGCTGATAATGTGCAGAATGAACAAGCTGTGTGTTTGTGAGCAGTGGGCACACAGTTAGGCTAGATGAGTCAGTCACAGAGGCCTCAGGTATTTCCTGTCTGGTTCACCCTTGGGCTCATCAAGGCCAGTTCTGCCTGGCTCACTGTGGTTCTTTCTTTCCACAGACTCCAGAGATACAGAGGGAAGCCCTGTATCTCCTTTTTGAGGACTATTCCTGTACTGGGTGCTGTTTTTCCTCAATCTAAGCCCTCCTTTCAGTCTGAATTTGTCTCTTCATCTGTCCTCTAAAACAGAACCTCCCGATAGAACGTTTAATAACCCAGGCTGAACATCCCTCATTCAAAATCCTGAATCAGGAAGTTCTAAAAGTTACGATTTTTGAGTACTGACAGGTGTGTTGATATATTGTTTATGATCTAATAAAGCCACTGAAAATCAGAGTACAAAGCCAGCCACACTAGTCAGTCATAGAAGCGGGGCAGTGGTGGTACACGCCTCTAATCCCAGGACTCAGGATACAGAGGCAGATGGATCTCTGTGAGTTCAAGGGCTACGAGAGAGGAATCAGTCTGAAAAAGTTCATGCCTTTAATCCCAGCACTAGGGAGGTATATAAAGAAGAAGCAAAGGTTCTCATGTGAGATTCAGTTTCCAGTCACAGGAAAGACAGGATCTACATTTCAGCCTTGGTAGAGGTAAGAGCTACTGGCTGGCTGCTTGGCTTCTCTGATCTTCAGCTTGAACCCCAATATCTGTCTCTGGGTTTTTATTATTTGTGCTACGGACAGGATAAATAAAAATTTTCATGGCTCACCTCAAAGGACAGTCATTGGCACACAGAAAACATGTAAAATTACCTTCTCAGAACTCAAGAGAAATGTACTTGCTTAGCACATGTGAAACCCTGGATTCAAATCCTGGCACCTACAATAAAATAAAAAACATGTTCACTATGCTATTCATGAAATATATATATATATGAAATATAAATGGTATAATATGATACATAAAATAGGATATACTACCTAGTGTATGTATAAAAATGAAAGGAGTTCATGTTTATACTAGGATCTCTTCCCTCAAGATATCTTATATCCTAAAATAAAAGCAAATCTGAAACTCTTCTTGTCTCAGGCATTTCAGATGAGGAATACTCAACCTGTAATAGCAAATTACTTTTTATGTATCAAACATTTATACCAATTTCTCAGTGTGTATTAGATGATTATGTCCTTGCATCAAACATTTATACTAATTTCTCAGTATGTATTAAATGATTAGGTTCTCATACAAGTCTTCTGAGATGAATACTATTATCAACTTATATTTTTCAGAAGAGGAAGCCACAGTTTCCCAAGATCCTATACAGAGGCAACACCACTGAATAAACTCAAAGATTACATATATAATATTATACATATATAATTTACATTTGTGCATGTATGTATGTGGAGGTCAGAATACAACTAGTGGGAGTCAGTTCTCTCCTTCTACCATGTGAATCCTGGAGGATGAACTCAGATTACCAAGCTTGGCAGGAAATGTCTTTAAGTCATTTCACTGGCCTTGGAGTTGATGTTTTTAATCATCCAAATATGCTAAGAGACTGGAGAGTCAGCTCAGTGGTTAAGAGTACTCGCTATGCTTCTAGAGGACCTGGTTTTGGTCCTAAGCACCCATATCAGGCAGCTTACAACTACTTATATGTTTGGCACCTGTGGGCACCTGCACAGACATGGCATATTTTCTCTCTCTTCTTGCTCATTAAATAAACAAATAAAGCTTGTTCATAAAGAAGCTGCTGTCCATTTCACCAGCTGTGCTAGTATGGCTTTCCTTTATTATAACAAGTACTTCAGGCGAATCAGCTTACACTTGGCTCAGTTTTAAAGTTTCTGGTGGGGTCTATGACAGGATGGGCTCTTTGCTTTGGGGCCTCTATGAGATGGATGGGAGTTTTCACCTCATCACAGCTTTGTTTGGTTGTTTTTTGAGATAGGGTTTCTCTGTGTAGCCTTGGCTTTCTTGGAAACTCATCCTGTGGATCAGGCTGTCCTTGAACTGCGTCCTCAGGCTAAAGGTGTGTGCCACCATCGACCAGCTCACCTCATCACATCTAGGAAGCAAAAGGAAGGAGCCAGTTTATCCTCCTCATGAGCACCCCACCCCATAACCTAGAGATCTCTCTTCAGTCTCTGAGTTGATCCTAGTTGTCATCTCATCACGGGCTTTAGGAAAACATTTAAAATCAAAGCAATGTCACCCCTGCTCCTGCTTTTGGGTGTTTACATACCCCGTACCAGTTTAATAATCCTGAAAAACATGTTTGGGATATTGACAGTTCAGTGGAGATTCTCTTACAGTCTTACCAGGGTACCACCTCATCCTTAATAACCTTCTTGAGGATTTCTTCTGCACGTAAAACTCACCAAGAACTGCCTCATTAAAACTCCTTCCCTTAAATACTTAGGGCTGAAATAAAATCTTTTCTACCAGGTCAGCAATAACAGCAAATCAAACGCAAGACCTTTATTGATTTTAAAGGAAATCTGATTTTTTTTTTTTTTTTTTTGGTCTTGTCTTTAGGTCATAGGTCGCCAGGCCTTTTTGTGAGAGAGAACTACTTTTCATATTCCACAAAGCTCCTACGGAGAATAGAATAGCAACAGAAAGTGATGTTTTTAAAAAGAAGTCATTTCACCACATAAAGATTCAGGATCCACTTACTGGACAAATGATGGACCCCTGACCTTACCCAACTGTAGATATTTTTTGTTATCTTTATTCTTTTTGAGTCTAAGCTTTATTTTCAGAAATGATTTAAGATATTTAGAAAAAAATGGCACTTGGCACTATATGGTTTTGAAACATGTGAGTTATGGATCTCTGATGTAATTTCTTTTCCTCCTCGCCTGAAAAAAATTATCATGAATGACTCAGAATGCAAAGCTTTAGCAGAAGTGTTTATTAGATACGATAACTAATATTCTGAAGTGAGAGGCCCGGAAAGGAAGTGTGGAATAATCTCGTGTTTTTCCTCAAAAGCAAACTCATTGGCTTCTTTATGGGAGCAGATTTTTCTTAAGCAGCCCTCTAAGAAGTCCTGGGATTGTCGCATGGCTCTTGTTCTGCCTTTTATAGACTGAACACCTAATAATACTTAAAACGTGTTGATGGAACAGGTTCACCTCAAGAGCTGCTCACCTCTTTAGTTGAACTTCATGTAAGAATTAAAACAAAACAAAACAAATAAACAAAAATCATCACGTAAGTCCGGGCTGTGCCTGAAAACTAGGAACCTCACAATCCATTCTATTATCTGAACTCCGTCCACAACAAGCAAACCCTGTTTCAAAACTTGTTATGGAAAGCAACCTGTGGGGTGAATGCTAGCACTGCCTCCCAAGAGCTGTGCCATTTTTATGATATCCCCAAAAGTTCTGGCAGCATGTTTAGGAGAGGGGATTTATCCCTGATTCTCAGAAGAGAACCTCGCTGTCCTTTCCCTATGCGCTTTGGAGGAGGATGGCCTCCTGGATGGTGACACTCTACAGCTTTCTGCGTGTTGGGCTCTTTTGCATCCTGACTTGTAGCCACACTTATCTGATCACAGAAACTTCCAGCTTCGTCTGTGGAGTTAGGTGGGAAGCAGCATCGAAGGCTAAGTCCTCAAGCTCTTTCCCGCCCCGGTCCCTAAAGCCAAAAAAACCTGAAGCTGTCAGAGTTCGCCACGACCGACCATGAAGAGCGCTGGCTGCACCGCAGGCACCGAGAAGGATGCACCGGGCGAGGCTGCAGGGTGCGCGAGCGGTCGGACGGGGGAGCGAGAGCCAAAGCTTGCGGAGCGCAGCCGAGCGGGTACCGCAGTCCCGGGAGCCGCCTCGGAGGGAGGCAGAGCTCCCAGCCAGAGAAATGTGCGGAAGGCGGGGCCCGCGGGGGCGGAGCCATGGGAGGCGTGGCTAGATGGAGGCGGGGTTATATGTGGGCGGGGCCATGGAAGACTGAGCCTACTCGGAGGTAGGCGGAGCTAGTGGTGGAGCCCGCGTTCCAGGGAGGTGAAGCCTGCGCCCCAGGGAGGTGGAGCTAGTGGCGTGGAGGCGGGATCCGAGGCAAAGAGGCGAGGCCCGAGGCTGGGAGGCGGGGCCTGTGCCCCAGGGAGGCGGAGTCCTCGGTGGGAGGCGGGCACGGAGGCGGTGCCAGGGCGGGCTGCGCAGGCGTCCCTTGCACCTTGTTGATTAGTCAGTGCCGGGAGCGCTGCTATGGCGTTCCTCGGACCCGCGGCTCCTCCTCACACTGTGCTCGAGGCGGAGGCTCGGAGGGGGCCGAGGAGGAGGAGGCGGGCGGCCGGCCGCCGCAGCTGCAGAGCCGGGGCCAGGGTAGGCGGAGGAGGAGCGGGAGCCGCCGCAGCCAGCCGGGCCGCCTGCAGTGCTTCCCTGGCTTGAGCGCGGGGCGCCAGCCATGCCTCGGTGTGGCCGCTGAAGGCGGGCGCCGGCGTCCCCGCCGCTGTGCCTCGCTGCCCGGCTGCCCGCGGCGGGAGAGCGAAGCCGCCCGCCCGCCAGCCAGCGGTGGAGCGGGCGCGGGAGCGCGGGGCCGGAGGAGGTGGGGAAGATGGACCCGGTGCCCTCGTTGGGCTGCAGCCTCAAGGATGTGAAGTGGAGCCCAGTGTCTGTGCCGCTCGACCTGCTGGTCAGCACTTACCGGCTGCCCCAGATCGCGCGACTGGACAGCGGTGAGTACCGGCGGGGCGCGCGGGTGCCAGGAAGGGTGGGACCCGGGAGGGGGGCGGGGGCTGTGCTCGCCCCTGGCCGTCTAGTTGGCCTGCGAGGCTGCCGCAGCCCTGGCGCGGCACTCCACTCCCCCCCAGCAGCAGTCGCCAGAGAGGTGCAAATCTGAACCCTTGCAGTGCAGTTAATAAGGGCACCTTAAAAAAAAAATATAGTGGAAACCTGCATATAGTAACCTTGAACGCAAGAATTACTCAGTCTGGAGACCCTGAAGTTGTCTTAGGCAACTTTCTGACGAAAATAATTGGGCTTTGGGTGGTATCTTGTTTGGGGTGCTCTCTCCAACCGGCCCTCCCTATGTCTGCCAAGAAGCTGCAGATTTCAGAGGAAAAGCTCCCGGGTGACCCAATGAAAACGATCACGTTTCTCGGAGATCTTTTATTACAGCTTGTCTATTCTGTTTAACACAGCAACGAGTGATTTAGGGTTGTGTGCAGAAAATGTCTTTAGCAGAAGTGATGGTATGCTTACGGTTAATTATTAGCTTAGCGCGCTTCCAGCTTAGAAAAAATATTTTAAGCCACTAAAACATATTGATTTGCAATCTGAGCTCTGAACCAAGAAATGCCTGTATTTCCTGAAACTGACCACAAGAAAACAACCAAGAACACCGCCCCCCACACACACTGATTATTCTGCACTGTGACATATGCAAACAAATATGTAGATGTGCTACTGTCAGTCAAGTGGACACCTTTAGTTTTGAGAGTTGTGACATTGGAGAGGACAATTTAAATTGTGTCTGCTTTTTGCTTTGTAACTTCACCGGGTTCAGCTTCATGGGATTTCAGATTGTAGGAAGAAGTCTGCTCAGCTGTAGGGCAGCAGGGCAGGCACATAGCTAAAGCTGTGGCCACATGCAAGCCAGATCAAAACAGGTCTGAGCAGAAGGATGCCATTTCTTCCAGTCACAGGAACTTGCATTAAGCATTGCCTTCTAGAGTAAAGTTAAAGTGTGTTTCACGTGAGATGTATGAATGCCTCCAAGGAGGTCTTACTCTATTGCTTGTCTGTGGGGCTCCCCTCGACACTGGGAACACTGGACAAGAGAATCAATAAATGAGGAAGTTCTGAAAGCTGGAAAACAACATTGGTATGCTTACTGTCCTTGTCTGGTTGTTGGTGGTGGTTGTGGTGGGCACTGGGAATAAGCTAGGAGTTTTTAAACTAAGAGTGAAGTGTGTGATGGTAATAACTGTTGAATCCAGGGGAGGACAGATGGCATATTAAGGCATTTCTGCTTAGCGTGGGGGTGGCAAAGTGTGTTGTGCTTTATTTAATATGTATCTGCAGGTGTGTGTGTGTGTGTGAGCAGTTTCATTTCCTCCTTCACTGTGCAAAGTTGTGTGTTTTGGCAGGTTGTGAGTCTTTACCTTTCCATTTCCAGACCTTCCCTCATCTCTGCCAACTCTGACAAAACTTCTTAGCAAGGCAATAGAGCATTGGTGCACATGGTGTGCGAATCGCTCAAAGTGAGGCTGTGCATCAGCCTCAGACATAACTCCCAGTCTTATTACCCACTTTCCTATCCCCATATTCATTAAAAGGGTCTGAATCAGCACCGAGCTCACCCCACACTGTTTTTCAAATTAGGATGTGGGCTGCAAGTCTTTACACTGTGTCCTTTCAAGCCTTGGGATGGATTTGATCACCACGTGTAATTCTCTTGTAAATTCCTCTTGTGATTTACCACTTGGGAATCACTGCAGCACACAAGTCATACTTGTAGCCAATACTACTGTACACTTGATTCCTTCATTAACCAGTCCCATCTCCTTTTTGTTAGCATAGATTCTAATAGCTGCATGACATTCTGTGCTGATGCCTATAACATATATCTATCTGATCCCCTGTCAATGGATATTAAATTGTATTTATATCTAATCCCTCATTGGTGAATATAAAGTTGCCAGTTTGCCTCCTCCTCCATCTTCATCTGTAAGTTCTGAGATAATGAGCATTCCTATACAAAGGCTTGTTTTGGGGATAAGAATGTATTCCTCCCTTGCTGAAAGCACATGTGAATCTTTTAAAACTTGTGACACACATGTTATTGCTCTAGAGACCAAAGGTTAGACTTATGCAAACATAGACATTGTGGGAACACTATTGGGTCCACATCCTTACTATAGTAGGGCTCCTTGTTTGCTTCTTAAATTTTTGCTAATTTCTTGGGGTAGGGGACAAGTTACTTTAACAATTTAATTTGGGTAGACTTTAAAAGAGCCAAATCATAGATTCTTTACACTAACGTGTTTCACTACAGTATTGAGGACATGTTAAGGGCATAACTGCCATACTTTCAAATGCAATGGGTAAACTCTCAGGTTTTGTAGAGTCCTAATCCTGTGAGTATGTTTTGGCCAGTTTTAATGCTATGGGAACATTTTGCACACACACACACACGCACACACACACACACACACACACACACCTGCTTTGACATTAAAAGTAGTTATTTTCCAAATCATTTCTTTTAAACGAAGCCTGAAAGAAACTGAAAAACATGCCACAAGTTGGCATTATGCCAAGAGGAAGGAGGATAGGGGCTGCCTTTAAGCTGTCCTGGAAGAACATTAAAAGTTGGAGTGGCTAGTGTTGACCATTGGGTGCCTGCTGCATACAGATATATTTCCCCGTGTTGCACACATTGTCTCTGTGCCTCAGCAGCCATGCTTTAAGGATTTGGGGAGCCTGGATTCAGAGAAGTTGAGCAAGAGATTCAAAATAAGCATTGGGGTTTCTAGCCACCCTTCTGCCCCATTAGCCCCTTATCTTTACAAGCTATGCTGCCTCCTCTTGTGGAGGCAGTGGGGTGGGGTGGTCTCTAAATAGTCTCACTGTCTCTGAAAGCTTGAGGACCAGAGAGTCAATTTAAAACGGTGTAGACGCAGGCTGAATTAAGTGCTGGAGTCATCCATCGCATGTAGATGACTTTCTGCTTCCCAGAGGAGGGGCAGAAAAGGGGAAGACGGGAAAGAGAAGGAAACAAGCGGTGTTTGGGGCTTGCGTTTGTATCTTTTTTGTACATTTACTATTTTAAAAGTATTAACTCTACAGTAAGAAAATAATTTTCCAATTCTTTGCATAAGACAGGCCAGATAGATGCTTTCAACTTAATGTGTTCAATGGTAGAAATTTTAAATTACGTTTATTTATTTGTGAGTGTGAATGCACATGTATGTGCATTTGCACATACATGCCACAGTGTACATGTGCATGTTAGAGGACAACTTGTGGGAGTCACTTCCCTCCTTCTACCATGTAAGGATGGAATTCAAGTCATCAGGCTTGGTAGCAAGTGCCGTTACCCACTGAACCATCTTGCCAGCTCTCTGGTGAAGAAATTGACCTTTGAGTAGTAAATACAGTTGGTGAGACTTCCTAGGTTTTGCTCCCAAATCTTTCTGGGGAACCCAAAGGAAAAGCCTAGATAGTAGTTCCCTAGGAGAGTTGATGACATGGCTGCAATCAGCAGAGGCCAACCCAGTTATTGATTCTCTGGCTGTCAGGTATTTTAAATGGCTGTAGTCTTATAAATTATAGAATCAGATTCCACAGATTCATTCAGAACCAGGGAGAGAACAGAGAATATTAACCCCTGCTCCACTCCAGCCCACTCACCACCAGGGAGCTGCCCATTTTCTGTTTTATCTTGCTAAAGTCCTACGTCCCTGGTGTGGTGCCACCACATTCAGGGTTAGTCTTTTGTCTGTGGCTGATTCTTTCTGGGGGGGAAAAAAAACTAACATATACATCCAAGTGTGTCTCAGCAATAACTTGGGGTCAAGTCTCTTAATTCAATCAAGCTGACGATTGAAATTAACTATTGTATTAACTATAGGGGAAGTCCATTTGGATTTTATGCCCTGGGGTGTTGAGCTGTGGGAACTTGGGTTTTGCCTTGTGCTGAGGTGTTCTGTGGCCTTACCAGTTATGCACCTGGAGACTGTAGAAGCAGAAATATGAACAATTACCCCCCCAAGGGGCTCCAGATGGCTGCTTGCAAAGTTGGAGATCCTTCTAAGTCCATGTTTTATCCTTGAAATTCATCTAAGTTCTGAAAATATGCTGTGTGATTGGTGTGGTGTGTGTGTGTGTGTGTGTGTGTGTGTGTGTGTGTGTGTGTGCGCACGCACACGCGTGCATGTGTGTTTTGTTAAACTAACAACATATATATTGCCTCAGAAGATCTTTATGCTTGTCTTATGGCTTCGTTTTTCCCTGTAGTCTGTATTTACAACACAGAGGGTGCATGTAGAAAACAGGGAAGATAAAAATAATGTTGAATTTGGAGTCAAGAACTCTACAGTGTTGGTCAGGTCTCTTCATTTATTTCCTTTGTAGTTTGTAGTTTTTATCATGGAAGAAAAATAGACATACCCTCCTCTGATGTGTCTTATGTGGTCCTATAATATTAGCCGATATTCACTGGACCCATACTATGTAATTCCTTGTGAAGATATTAGAATTATAGTAGGGAGAAAAACTTTGGAGCCAGCAGTCTTGTGTATCTGCTTATTTAGGGCATTAATGTAATAACATGTATGACTTACATGTATATTGCATAATAGTATATATGCATATTTAAGATTAGTATAGAGATGCTTATGTGCTTTCAAAGGGAGGCTCCTGCATGTATCATTGAGAGTGCAGAAGGAGCCAGAATAATAGATTTTAGTATACTTCTGCAGGCAGAGAAACAGAAATGCTCCAAGTGACTTCTGTGAAGTATAGATGTCATAGACATCTGCAGGTTATAAAAAGGAGACAAATCTTTATCAGTGAGAAAGTGTTATGAACTAACTCAGGGTTGGGCTGGGAGATGCTGGAGCAGGAAGTCAGGAAGGGTGTTTTAACTGAATCCAGAATCACCAAAGCAATGAGCTGAGGCATTTAAACATCTGAGTGTATATTTACATGGTTTTGGCTACAGGGAGTCTTT